TAAAGCATTAATATTTTGCAGCAGCCTGACTCAGACTATGAAGCTAATCTTTCTCTCTAAGTTGGTGTTTTTTGTTTGGTTTTTTGTTTTGTTTTTTTTTTTAATACAATGGGGTGTTCGTTTGGTTTTTTTGGTTTGGGGTTGGTTTTGGTTTGGGGTTGGTTTTGGTTTGGGGTTGGTTTTTTTGGTTTTTTTTTTAAGATGAATAAATGGAATTGCTTAGGACTCATCATTTGTAACCAAGCAGAAATTATGTAAATTTTGGAAAACAATGATTCTATAAACATTTTCTTTCTTTACAGGTCCTGGTCATAACATCAGTTTAAATGAAGACAAAGGAGACAAGGCCAAGGAAAAGGAAGTGGAGAAGGTTTTGTTCTCATTCTGTTTTCTTCCCCTTGCTGATGTTTCAGACATTGCTTGGAATACCACCACAGGGACCTGCCTTGGACTTGCTTCACAGTCCAAGCCTTCCTGGCAAACAGCTGCTACATGAATGGAAGGGAACTGGGAGAGCACGAAGCGTTCTTCTGAAGGGACACGGGTGGAGGTGCTCCTGGGGGAGCCGGCAGGTCAGCTAACCTGGCTCCATCGGAGCTGCAGGAGAGGGGTAGATCGTTCACAGAACGGACAGGGCTGACCCCTCGCCAGCCGGGCTGGCAGAAAACCACCAGCAGGAAAAGAGCTAAGTACAGTGCAGCCTAGGAAAGCTGTATGACGAGAAACAATCCTTTGCTTCAGTTATTATCACATCTTTGTTTAGCACAATAGTATTTGCAGCTGCAAATACCAAGTGAAACATCTCTGCATAAAATCTGGAAAATTAATCCTTGTAATTACTAATGCATCTTTACTATTTATTAATTATGAGAGGATTTCTTCTGGAAAGACAATTTATTCTGCCGACTATACATTAAGGCACTGAGAAGAGCAAAATGCCGTGTCATTGCTTTTCAGTCACGCACATAACAGTGAAACTGGAGCATAAAGCTGAGTGGTGATATACCCACCATGTTCCACCCCATGTATTCTGAACTTCAGGACCCCCATTCCCTCTCAACCCTTGTCACCAAATCTCTCTCTAGAGGCATTGCTTGCAACATTAAACTTTGAGTTCTATTATCCAAAGGTCAGCAAATCTAACTGATGCTTCCTCGTACATTAGGATACTGTAGATTCTAATTATTATTTGGAGAGTGATATTTTTATTTTTCAGATGATGGAATGAAATAAATCAGTGTAGCAAGTCTCCACCATGAAAAATACTAATTTAGCTGCTTTTGCAAACCCTACTTTAATTCTCTTAAGTGAGTCATCCTAACTGGGAGCACCCGTGGATCCCACCTTCCTAAGTCATCCTGGTGTTTTCAGAAATCAAACAAAAAGGATAAGTCACTTGTCTAAATCCATCTCCTGCCCTTCTGCAGGCTTCCGCTATGATCACAAGCATAGGAGGGCACGTCTTCACCACAGGACTTTGCTATGGCTAAGATGCTCCGTATTCCATGCTTCCAAACCCAGGTACGGGAGGCAGCATGATGCTGCCCTTCCCTCGCACAAGACTTGAACTTCACAACCCAACCCTGCGCTGGCAGAGGGAGGAGGCAGTGCCTGCGGTATTGAACAAGCGCAGAACCAGTCCCAAGAGAGTAGGTGGCAGCAGTGGGGAACAGGACATCTATTTGGAGAAAAGACGCAGAATTTAGCAGGCAACGCAAGAGCAAGCTGTGATTTTTGAAAGTTTATTCAACTCAGATTTAACCATCTCTTATCTCAGTTCTGGAGCTGGGCAGCCATTTGATGTCCAGAAGAAGGAAACTGTATTTTAATCTTCTAATTACAACAAATGGAGAAGCCACACAAGTAAAAGAAAATGCAAAGCAGATTTACCACAGGATATCCTACATAGCCATTAGCATCCCAGCACAATATTTAGTTAAGGGAGTTTAACAAAGGCTAATGCATGAGGAATGGGCATGCATCCTGCCCTTCAGCTATGCTTGGGTAGAAAACCAGTTTAGACATCATATAACAAATCACCTCCCGAGGACACAGCAACATGCATCACTTCACCAAATACCATGGGGTGACTCTGCTTTTCTTCTTAATCGACAATTTGGCTTCTGCAGCTTTGGCTCCTCACGCATTTTTAAAAGCTTCCATCTTTCCCCTTCTGTGCTCCACATGTCTCCAAAATTACTTTCCAAATGCCATTAACAAGTGCATTAATTAAATCATTAGGACTTCAGATATTTTTTTTTGAATATTTGCTCAGGCATATAGAGCCAGAAGATTGCTTGCGGCCCCTAAACAAATCACTCTAGTCTCTTTGCACTGCTTTCGCGTCCCCAAACCTCATCAACCACGAGCCAAAGAGATTCATCTTCAGGAGGTGTAAACTGCCACGCAGCAGAACTGTACTTGCTTCTGCCAGCTGAAGTCTGACCCCTAAAGCGTTATTAAAGCAAAACAGGAGGCTACCGCACGCATCAAGTCCCAGCTTCATCTGTGGCATGCCAGTGGCCACCCTGCACTTGAATGCTTAATGCAGGGTGAAAGCCTCCACAGCTTGGCACACGAGAACAATTTCACAAAGTATTTCCCCTTTTGACCCAGGGACCGGAAGCGCATCCTCCTCTCTACTCTCCTTAGTCATATTAGCAAGGGCAGAATCTAATCTTTTGCCTGCCATGTGGCAAAGCATGCCAAAATCCTGCTCTTAAAAAAAAAAAGAGAGAATAAGGGACAAAGACAGCTTTACATGTTGTATTTCATTCTGCAATGTGAGGTTCTGAATATGGAAGAATCACAGATGTATTTCAAGGCACAAGACCGTTGTATTACACTGACCATGCAGAGTGAAGGAAGAAAATAAGAAACTCCAGCCTCTTTATTCCAAGCCAGCATCAGTCCATGCTTAGGACTTGTTTTATCTTACTGTGAGGCCATTTACAGTCCTAAGGATCTTTAATTTCTTCTTCTAATGTATGGTCATCTTCTAACGCACGGTACTGGCTGCAAAAGAAGAAAGGTGCAAGAAAGATGTTCAAATCCTGTAATAGCTACTGCTACACTGACTTTAAACAGAGTCAATTTTCCGGCCACATCCATGGCAGTCTCCTTTGGGGATAACAGGGGTAGTTTCCTCCAGGGTCCAAAGGTAGGAAATCTTTTTGCTGAATACAACCTAGGTCCTGAAATGCAACAGTTACAACGTGCAGACACTAACAAGTTATCATTGCTTGGAAATGGCTCCCATTTGCTCACCTAACTTTAGATATTTCCACTGTTTGAGTAGTTTAAGGCATTGCAAAGGAAAATCTGGGCAGCTTAACTCGGGCATACACTTCAGTTCTTTGGGTTTCAGTGGGACATAAAGTTAAGCACAGGCTTGTTTGAGTCAGGCAGCTCTCAAAGCTGTGTAATTCCCCTGGGCAGCTACCATTGGGAGAATGAGTCAGGCAAGACAAAAACCTCATTTTCCAATGTCCTCACTTCTAGTTTGATATGAAAGGCTTTTCTTTTTAATTAAGGAAAAAAAGAGCCATCTACAGCTCTCTTGCAAGATCACATAGCTCTTATGTACTCACCTTTGATTTTTTTTTTCTTTGCCAAAAGAAACAGGAGAATATTCAGGATTCAGTTACATCCCTTGTTACTTACACACTCAAGGCTTAAAAACACATCATCAGTCTACAGCCACGCTTAACCTTTCCTAAGGGCTTTACAAAGAACTGGTCACTCAAGGCTTAAAAACACATCATCAATCTACAGCCACACTTAACCTTTCCTAAGGGCTTTACAAAGAACTGGACAAACATTAATGAATTTTGCTTTACAGCAGTCCTGGATCACCCAGGAAAAAAAGAAAAAGAAAATGAACAGCTCATTCAAGAGCACCGTGCATGTAGAAGTGCGTTCTCCAAGCCCTAGGATTCGTATCAAGAATGCCCTTCCCTGCTTGCTCATGCGTCAGATGTTACTGGTGCTCGAAACACGTAACTGGGGCCAGATCAGTCTCCGTGTAGCCATCTCCCTGCAAATCTGAGTTTCAGCTGTGCATACCCAGCAAGCTGTCTCGCCCTATTAATGGATAAGTATCCTTCTGAAAAGAGAGCGCCATTAAAGGCTTGCCTTTTTCCTTGATTATTAACCATGTGGGAGGGTCAGCGGTGTGCAACCGGTTTATTGATTTACAGGAGTTTCAGGGCAGCTCCGAGGAAGCTGTGAGCCAGCTGTGTCCTTCTCCACCTCTGTGCTGTGCAAGCCTTTATTGGAGCAAATTAAATACCAACCCTGCTGGAGCGTACGGGCTGCTGTGCTTGCACAGCCGTTGATTCTTGGCTGAGAACCCGTGGCTTGGCCTGGCAAATATAAAGGCAAGATCTCAGACTCCAGCATCAGCTGAACAGCCAGGGCTCTATAGCTAGGGGCAAAACCAAGTCATATCCTCCATGATTTGCAAAGAGAAAGGGATTTCAAATACACCTCCACCACTGTGTTACATATTTGCTCTTTGCCAGGCTCTTGTGCTTCACAAATCACAGCTGAAAAGAACATGAGAGCGCTATATGCCCTGAAATAAAGACATTAAGCACATGCTTATCTTTAAGGAAATGAGTAGTCCCAATGAAAAGGATTCACTAAAATCAATGACTCCTAATACAATGGTGTGGTTTTCATTACTATCATCCATTATCATGTGTAGCGTGGTTAAAATCCCAAACAAAACAACGAGCTTTAGCATCATTGTGCTGATAAGAACTGTCACCATCAATCCCAAACTGTCCTCATGGAAAATAAATATAATCTCTGCCACGTCTTGCATGCTGATCGGAACAGTTTATGCTCATGGGAGAAAGCAGGAATTTTGTGCAGGACCACAATTTTATTAGAGATGCTTTGAGAGATTTGCATAGTAATAGCTTGTTTGGGCAAGGCAGCATTTCATCACTGTTGTACCTGGAGCGCCTGCCAGCCACCGGGTACCATTCGCACCCATGACCAGCGACAGCACCTCAAATGCTTATGGACTGAAGAAACTAGATGGACACAAGAGGAGAAAACAAGAGACTACACTGCACGACAGGGTGAGGCCAGGAGCTGAACTTGGGTTCTAGCTCACAGTTTTCTGCATGTGCTTGAAAGCCTGGGTTTGATGCCTGTTCCATATAACAAAATACAGTCGGTAAACACAAAAAGGCAGACGTGTGCATGTTTCACAGAAATAGCTGATCCTGGAGGGTTTCACCTATATCATCACTGTCTTCCCTGAAAGTAGCATTTTTCTGAGCCCATATGAAAAAAATATTTATGGCCTTCCTCAGCCATTCTCATGAGAATTCCTGAGACAGTGACATTGGCATTTATTAAATGTTTAAAGAGTTGTCCTGATGTCAGCTGGGATAGAGTTCATTTTCTTCCTAGTAGCAGGTATAGTGCTGTGGTTTGGATTTAGCACAAGAAGAATGTTGATAACTCACTGATGGTTCAGTTGTTGCTAAGCAGTGCTTGGTCAAGGGCTCTTCAGCTTCCCATGCTCTGCCAGGGGCACAAGAAGCTGGGAGGGTGCACAGCCAGGACAGCTGACCCCAACTGGCCAGAGGAATATTCCATACCATATGACATCATGCCCAGTATATAAACTGGGGGAAGTCGGCCAGGGAGCAGCAATCACTGCCTGGGGACAGGCTGGGCATCGGTCAGCAGATGCTGAGCAGTTGCATCACTTGTTTTGTATATTTTTTTATTATTCTTTTCCTCTGCTCTTTTATTAAACTGTGTCTATCTCAACCCATGAGATTTACTTTTTTTTTTCCCTAATTCTCTCACCCATCCCATTGGAGTGAATAGCTCTGTGGTGTTTATAGAATCATCTAGGTCGGAAAAGCCCTTTAAGATCATCGAGTCCAACCTTTAACCTAACCCTGCCATCCCACCACTAAACCCTGGCCCTAAGCACCTCATCTCTCCTTCTTTTAAATACCTCCAGGGATGGGGACTTGACCACCTCCCTGGGCAGCCCATTCCAGAGCCTGACAACCCTTTCGGTGAAGAAATTTTTCCTAATGTCCAAACTAAACCTGCCCTGGTGCAACTTCAGGCCATTCCGCCTCATCCTATCATCCATTACCAGGGAGAAGAGGCCGACCCTCACCTCGCTACAGCCTCCTTTCAGGGAGTTGTAGACTACTGCCTGCTGGCTTAAACCACACCAAGAGTTCACTTCAGCTTTGTATTTTGTATGAGTGAGAATTTTAACAAAAGAAAAACAAACTGCCATAGGAGCAGTCTCACTGCCACAGCTTGGCTCCCTAGGTCAGCAGCCACTGGACTAGCAGTGAGGCTCTGTATTACATGAGCCACTGGTGATAAGAAACAGGTACCGTTCATCATCAGTTACTGAGGAACAGTCTGGTGGTGGTGGTGTGATAACAGATCACAGCTTCAACACCTCTTCCTGCACTGCCACCTCCCTATTGCACATTTAGAGGTTTATAAGCTTGGAAAAGCTGCCTAGAAACCTATCTGCTCTCTCTAGGTCTAGCACCAGGCTCT